CAAATTAATATTTGAGTATAATTAATTATATATAATTAATTAATAATTCTCAAATTGTCCATTTTCGTTTTCAAACTGAGCGCCAATTAGGGAGAATTTACTGTAGTCAGGCGCTGCGCGCGCGCGCAACATCGTTGGCCACTTTTCGCAAGTGTTGCGAACGACGATATATCGTCGTTCGGCGCTAAAAGGGTCAAATAAAATTGATTCAGGGATTCGACGAACAATTCGCACGTACCGTGTCCACATAACGTGCCAGGATCGTGCGAAATGTTGCTTTATGATCGCGCGGCAGTTTTCCGGTTTCCCTATTTTTCAATTGGCAAGTTCTGGCGTTATTCTGTAATCGTCGGCCATTAGTTCTCTGCCCACTTACTCGTCGCGCTTGAAACGAGCGGGCAAAATCGCCAGATATAAACAGAGACGGCGAAAAGTAAGCACGTTGCAACGCGACGGTGCACAGTAGTGGCATCGATGTTGCGAACAAAAACAAAAACGAAAACGAAAAAGATCGACTTGCGTAAGAGCGGCAACGAAACCTATAGACGTGCTCGTAAGTTTTAGCATTCGAATAAACGTTCGTGCTTCGACCGCGCAGCGTGACGGCTGGATGCAGTGGGGGGAGGTGGACTTCAGGCGCGTTCGAATCAATGAACAAGTCACAGAGCGTAAACTTTCTGAACTTTTTGTACCAGGTCACAGTGACAATTTTCAGGAAAGAAATTTTTTACTTGGACGCTATTGTCTCTTGCGTTAAGCGGAGATAATTTTTATTTCGCATAAAAATCCGCAGTCTGGTTACGTCTGTCGTCGTTTCAGTTTCTGCGGAAACTGTTTTAAAATGGCAGCGTATTAAACAACGCTTTTTATGCCACAGTCATTTTTCTACTGTCAAGTAGGAAAGTTTTATTGTCTTGAAGCTGTAAAAGGTTCCACTTAAAAGCAGACATTTATTCTGCTTTGAGAAAGTCGAAGTAGCGACATTTCCAGGAGACGCTGCGAGATGAGTTTTAAAATATACAGGGTGTCTGATTTTTATCTATAGATAAAAATAACTCGTCGATCGTACACTATGTAAACAATGCTTGTTACGAATTTAAATGTTAACCTTAATCGTTTAAAATAAAAATACACATTTCTTCTGCCGATCTTGTGAATCATTTGGCATAAGATTGTTGGAATTGTTCGTTGTTACGAGCCTCGGCAGCGAAATGATTCAGAACAAAGGGATTTCCTGATATATATAATACATATATATGTATACATATATGTGCAAGCCGCGTTGATTACAGACTGCCTAAGGTTCGCGTAAAAAGTAAATCGTCCTCTTCCTTGCGGCCCGGATCGAGGTCATCGCTGAACTCACAATTATTTGAACGAATTAAGAAGAGCATGACCTCACGACGCTTTTCCTTCACGTCGGCACTGCGAGGTCGCCTCGGTCATGTAAATATTTGGAATACGGCGAGAGAGCGTACAGTGACTCGCAAAAGTATACGTACCCTACGTCCTCCAATTACCGACGGAGAACTATATACGTGTACCTGGTCCGTCCAGAAAGTAATTAGGAAAGTGTAATTAGGCTGACGCTGTAGAATTTTGAATGCATAAAAAATCTCAGAATATATCGTCTCTTTTGTTGATATAGTCGTCGCTGACTCATCGTCAGTGTATCGTTTACATTGGGCGACAGCAACAATGTCATGTAAACATTGCACTCCAAACGTAAACAGAAATCGAACCTTTCTGTGTTTCCTCTTTTTACACTTTTTTATAATACCGTCCGACTTCCGCTGTTGCAAATATAATTGCTTCTAATTTATGATTGTCTGAAAGAAATAATACAGTATTGGATTCGCATTGAAACCGGCTATTGTAATGTGACTAAAAAAATGTATGGTCCCTTGATGAAAAGAAGGGTTGGTGCTTCATCATCTTAAAACCCTCCAGAAACTATGTTATGTTGAAAAATTATCTAATATACAGATAAACTTACGAAGTACATTATAATTTTCATTTAATTGGAATAATTTTGTTAGCAGTAGTTTTTAACATTTTTGTTAAAGAGATCCGCCACTCGGCTGTTAAAGAAATAATCTATCTATTGTTTATGCGAATATTCACGCCCGGGATAGCCACAACATAACGATAAATCAGAGATCGGATTAAATGAAAAAATTTAGTTGAAAATGTTCGCGTTAAAATTTGTATCGCAGCGATCAGCGATAAATATTAATTATATATAAAAATGTGGACAATTTTATGGAACGAGTGGGTGTATGAAATACGTCATTTTGGTGAGGCGAGGTGCCAGGCTGACTGAGAACATTGAAAAGATGGCGAGCCAGAAGGAAAAAGAACGAAAACCTGGCGGAAGAAAAGACCAATGGATCGCGAGATACGCTCGTGATCATCGTGGACACTGTTAAATTGATAGCAACTCATACACAATGAACTTCATTCATAATCGCCGGCTCTAACTCGAGTTACTTCTCGCTCGTTACGAAATGCCAGAAGCAAATCTCGACGTTGACGCGTATTCTCTAGCAAACGTCGAATTCGTGTCGACGACATTGAGAATTTTCACGTTCCGGCATCGATTTCCATCGACTGCCGTCGCAAACTCGTTCCTACTCAATACGTAATTCACATTTGGTTTGCATCGATATCACGATGTGCAGCAAATATATTTCCAGTGACTTTTTAACGGCTTCGAATTGGGCATATATGAGCCGTTTATTTTGAAAGTGGCATAAGTCACTTCACCGTAATGAAAAGTGGTGATTTTTTAATGTTTATACGAAATTATTTATACCGAGAAAAATATCAGTATCCTGATATAACAAATACAAGTAAATCTTCTCAAAAGTTAGCATCCATATTTTTAAACGTGTTAAAACGCAACCCTTAAATATATCGACTTAACAAACAAAGTGACTTATGCCACTTTCAAAATAAACGGCTCATATTATGGTGTCGCGCGAAGGTCGACCTTGTTTACTTAAATTGAGACACGTGTTTTCGAATGCACCGAGGAACTCGATTTAAAAAGATAGTATTGACCTATCCATGTCGAAGAAACATTGTTTTAAGAAATATCTCGATGTAAATATCACCTATAAAGGTAATAAATATCATCCCATAAAGGTAAATATTTACCTTTGTTTACAGGAGGACTGTAAATTGAATGACTGGACACTGAATTTTTAGGCAAAATTGAAATATTTTTACCTAAATTCTGCGAAACAGAAGTTAAATAAAAATGTATTTTCTCTCTTAATAGTTTTAACATTTTTAAATTCTTTTCATGTTTTTACTGTTCTGTATTTCGCTTATATATTTTCGCCATAAATGCATAAAATCCGCAGTCTAGTAATTACCATTTATGCTTCGTATCTGCTCCCGTAGTTGAAGCCATACTTACAATTAGGAATATATGAGATATTATTTCAAGTAGCAAGTTATTTTATTTTCGAATTGCCTGAAGTAATTATTTGTGATAATTGTGAAATTATCCTTGTAAATTTATTACTAAATTTAAAAAAATGAGATATTAATTAAATTAAACATATTTATAATATTACTGTGAATATTTTTAAAAATATTTGACTTTAATTAAAATATATTAATAATTAATTTAAATTATTCTTGGAATTTTGGTTTATACTGACATGTTCGTTGACATTTCTGTTAATTTCTTTCTCATTCACAATAGCGATATATAGTTATAATTATTGTTCATGAATTTTTCCAGATTTTCGAATTCGCTGCATCCTTGTTAAAAAAAAGATAAAAACTGATTTTTTCAACGTTTTTCTGGCGAGAGAAAAATAAGCTAATCTTACAATTGTTATGTCTTCATTATTCTGTAAGTATAATTGGGCGCTCATAAGCCTTGAACGTTTCACAGAAATAATTAAAAAACGAAATCAACTTGATTATTTCTACCGTATCGGTACGTTATATTCGAAACTATTAATCATGCTTGTAACAGCTCAATTATACCAGGTTCGTAAAATACGCAAGAAAAATAATTTTGGAGGAATTGTTATTTCATCAATTATTGGTTATTATAGAAATTACTCCGTTGTGATTCAGTTCATTCGAGACATCATACCTATTATAATTTCAGGCAATTTCCTAATTATCAGAAGTAATGGATGCAGATGCCAAAATTAATATCAGTCCTCTAATGGAAAATAATAATTTTCATACAAGAAACCCTGGAAAGTACAACGCATTGAAAGCGTAGACGCACTGCCCTCACCCCCCCCACTGACAACTTAATCAGTGCAAAATAAATAAGTAATAAACAATGCAAAAACTGTATAATGTGGACCGTGAGACACCATAGATTAGCAGCATTTATATTGGAAGCAGGAAATATTGTATACTACAGGGTGTTCCAAAATTATGGTATTTCCAGGAAACTAGGGGTTCCTTAGGTCATTTGAAGCAACTTTTTCCTTAGCGAAAATGCGATCCGTGGCTTCGTTTACGAGTTATTAACGAAAAACCGTGACCAACGATAGATCGCGTACGGCTGACGCCCCGCCCTCGCGCGACCACTGTCTGTCAGATGGCCAGCGCGACGCGTTATTGGCCGCGAGGGCGGAGCGCCGGCCGCGCTCGCCTCTTATTGGTCACCGTTTTTCGCTGATAACTCGTAAACGAAGCCGCGGATCGCATTTTCGCTAAGGAAAAAGTTACTTCAAATGACTCCAGGAATCCTCCATTTCCTGATTACGAGACATTTTTGGGACCCCTGTATATACAGCAATATATACATAAATATAGCTATAATACTTATTAAGAAACCTCTAAAGGGCAATTTTGACTATCTTTTAATCGCGGCTCGGCCGCAGAATCCTTGTAAATTTAACCGTGCGCCGCTGTAGTAGTAAAAATCGTCCAAGATCGATAAAATATCCGGACACCTAGTAATCACCGAAGGCCTGAAACATGAATTAGTATGACTAATTCCGTCGTTCTATCCACAGAATACACCGCAGAAGCCGAAGCAGTACCGTTCGCCGCATGGGTGCCTGGGTTAACGATCGTTTCGCGGAGGAGGAGGTGGTCCCGATTAACCAGGGTCCGAGGAGAAGGAAGACTTCAGGCATTCTGGGCCAGAATTGCGATGGTGGCGGTCCAGGCGGGATTCCACAGCCTTCAAAGAACTTTAAATCGTCCACTTCCCCAGCGTCGTTGTTGCCGTTACGCCGTCAGTTCACTAGACAGTTGTACGAGTGGCCGTGCTTACCGCTGTTTAAATCAAGGACGAAACTAAATCGGTTTAGGATCGGTTCGACCGTCGCTGTGATTCGAGTGATATAACTGTTTCTGGTGTCCAGAGGTGTTCCAAGTGGTTCCGGGAAACTTCGGCTCGACGAGGCAGGAGAACGGGTTCTAGAGAGCCGCGTACAGAGTCGCAGAGAGGCGTAGAGAGGTATAAGAGAGGCGTAGTAGAGAGGTATAAGAAAAGCTATAAAAAACAGTTGTAGCAAGTATATACATATGTTCAACCGTTCGCTCGCGGTCGTCGAAGGAAAGACCGGCGAGCCGAAAGCGAGCTGCTTGAAAGTCTAAAAAATCGCATATTCATATTGTCGAAGGTATTCGAAGGGACAGCGTCGATGTCGTTGCATTAGCTGCCCGCGGGACGACTGCGCCTGAACAGCGGTCTCCAATCTCTTCGTGGTGCCTTGGCGCGATCATCATGGCCGAGTGGGGCCGGGTGAAGCTCAACGAGGAGAAGCTGACACAATCGAGCGAGACGATCGACCTGGAGGAAGGTATCAGAGGGGACGAGTACGACAGCGGGTCGCGGCAGGAGCTGAACAACGGGGAGATAGCGAGGCGAGAACGTGACGAGGAGCTGCTGATCGAGAGGAGACGGTCGTCGAGCGTGGCCGCGCAGGAGACGAAACACCGGAAATGCCGGGACGCCGCGTCGACGGTGCGGAATTCCATATTGAAGGACGACTCGCCGAAGAGGGAGTTCCAGAAGAACTCGGACCAGATAGGGATCTTGTCCGAGGAGCAGTCGCAGTCGCTGAGCAACCAGAGCTACGAGAACGACGTGGCGATCGAGAAGTTCGAGGACGCGGAGGACCGAAGGTGTTTGGAGAAGACGTACAACGGCTACGACGATCCCGGCTCGAGGATACGGGAGGAGGCGAGGCAGGAGCTGAGGAAGCTCTCGCAGATCTCCGGGAAAGGTAAACGGCCGGTGATACTGCAGAAGGAGGGCGTGTCCGGCTCCCAGAGGCGCAAGAACGTCGTGACGGTGGGGGGCTCGATCTCGCCCACGAGGATCCTGTCGGCGAAGAGCTGCCTGTCGCCGGAGAAGAGCACCGAGAAGCTCGTGAACGGCGGCTCGCCCCGGGAGGACAAGCAACAGCACCATGTACAGTTCAACAAGGACTCGAAGAAGCAATATCCGCGCCACGACGACAGGTCGCAGCCCACCCCTTCGATACCTACGTCGGCCATCAGTACTTCCGAGGACAACTCGAGCTTGGGCCAGCTGTGCGAGGGCACGCCGCCCGACGGCGGCTGGGGCTGGGTGGTCGTCGTGGCCGCTTTCATAGTGAATCTGATCGGCGACGGGGTCACGTTCTCCTTCGGCGTGATCTACGTCGAGTTCTTGAACTATTTCGACGAGGGCAAGTTCAAGACCGCCTGGATCGGCAGCATATTCATGGCGATGCCGTTGCTGTGCGGCCCGGTGGCCAGCTTTCTGACCGACAGGTACGGCTGCAGACGCGTATGCATCGCCGGCAGCATCCTGGCGACGACCGGCTTCGTGATCACGTCCTACGCGAACTCGATGGCGGTGCTGGTCTTCACATTCGGCATTCTGCCCGGCTTCGGACTGTCCCTTTGCTTCGTAACGGCCGTGGTGATCGTCGCCTACTACTTCGACAAGAAGAGATCGTTGGCGACCGGACTGTCCGGCTGCGGGAGCGGCATCGGGACGTTCATATGCGCACCGTTGACGCAGTATTTGCTCGACGAGTACGGATGGCGGGGCACCACGCTGATCCTGGCCGGGCTTTTCTTGCAGCTGGCCGTGTGCGGATGCTTGATGAGGGACCCGGAATGGACGACCTCCAGGGCGAAGGCCAAGACCGAGGAGAGGAGGAAGAACAGGGAGAAGAAGAAGAGCAGAATGCAGAGCTCCAGCGTGGACTCGTTCTCCGCTAACTGTTCCCTGAACACACTCACGATCATGGAGAAGCTGCGGCTGCAGGAGGAGGAGGACGAGGAGAAGCTGTTCTCCAGCTTGCTAAGCCTGCCGACCTTCGTCAAGACCGGCGAGAAGGTGCCCTCGGAGGTGCTGGAACTGCTGAGCACCCGGAAGAACGTTTACAACGTGCTGGTTCAGAATTACCCGAACATGCTGACGACCTCCTCGCAGCAACGCTTCAGCGACTCCGGGGCGCTGCACGACCAGCTCAGCACAACCTCGGCGAGGTTCACGGCCACGCCTAGCTCGCTGTCCGAGCTGAAGACCGAGGAGAGCAAGGACAAGGTGTTGTCGAACGATCCGATCGACGATCAGATCATCGAGCAGCAGACCGACGCCGCGTGGCGCCTGTGGTCGAAGAAGACCAGCTTGGAGGACAGTAACTTGAAGAGATCCAGCACCCTCGAACACTCGAGGAGAATGCCGGCCGGGTTCTTGAAGGATATAAAAGTCCATCGGCGCAGCCTTACTTACAGGGGCGCCATGTTGAATATTAATCGGTTGAGAGCGTCCAGCTGTCCGGACATCTATAGAAACTCGACCACCATCACAAAGACGAAGCTCGTTTGGTGCGCCGGTTTGTGGGACCTTCTCCTCTATATGCTCGACTTCTCCCACTTTGCTGACTCGCGTTTCCTCCTGTTCGCCATCAGTAACTTCCTACTACACACTTGGTACGACGTGCCTTACGTCTACTTGACGGATAACGCGATCGAGATGGGATTCAGCGAAACCGACGCCTCCAATTTAATATCGGTTATTGGAATTACCAATACGGTCGGCGAGGTGAGTCATTTTTCTTCAAATTGTACTATATGTACATTTAAGAGGGGCACACTGTTTTGCATATTTTAAGAAACCAAGTTTGAAAGAAAACTGCGCAAACGCGCACATACTGTTTATACCTAATGAAGCTTTCAAAAAATTCACATAATTTTTCTCATATTTTAAGAACATTTACGTTTTAAGTGAATAAATTAATTGCATTTGAATTACAAAAATTCAATATGTTTTATTCGATAAATGTTCGAAGATAAATTGAAGGCACAGTAATTGGCTACCCCACAGTAACTAGCTCCGCTACCCTAAAATACGAACACGATATAACAAAGTCATAAAAATAATATAAATATAATAAATAATCGTTTCTCTGATCAAAGAAGTAACACATGGTTGCAGTTGCACAACGATCACAGAAACATTAACCTTGACACCGGGCGACGCGTTTCGTTCCACTGTACGTTGGTCCGCCAGCAAGGCCGACGTATCGATAATTTCAAACATCGACGTTCATTGATAACCTGGTTCTCCGACCTGGCAGACTTTTGTTCCTTTATGCGGCCCGATATTGGCGCGCTTCAGCGTCGTTTATCGGTCACCGAAGAATCATTACTTCCCCCACCTGCCAGTTCTGCGAGACAGCTACTTTAGTTCGTTCACAGCTATCTCGCCTACAACTTGGCCGACGGAATTATTCGTTCAAACCGAGCCGTTCATTTCAACGCTGACGACGAATCGAATGTCTCAAATTAGCTTGCGATTGGCTACTTGCAAGAGCTGAGATTCAAAGTTATTTGAGAAATTTTTGTGAAAACGTTTCCATTTGAAAAATTGAGCAGGGCTCGGAATTAACCTGCACGCGACAGCGGGATCGGTGTTGCTGTCGCGAGGTCCAGTACGATTTCAGTGGTGGTTTTCGCGGTGGTGGGGATAACGAAGCGCCGCAAACTGGCTCAGTGGCACAGTGGAAGAATAGGCTACATTTGCTCTGACATGTCGCAAACTGGCGCAGGTGCAGAGGGTGGCCTCGCGAGGGGGCTGAGACCTAGTTAGGGGAGTAACTTAACAATACCTAGCAACCGACACAACCTGCGAGCGCATCCATTGTTTCCATTCCATTATTACAGGCGATAACAATGTATTGGGTTGGTCAATAGTACTCCAGGAGTGCTAGCTTGTATGAATACAGAGTGTCCTAAAAATGTCTCGAAATCCGGAACTGGAGGGTTCCTGAGGTCACTTGGAGTAACCTTTTCCTTAGCGAAAATTCAATTCGCGGCTTCGTTTCCGAGTTATCAACGAAAAACGCTGACCAATAAGAGGCGAGCACGGCCGGCGCTCCGTCCTTGCGGCCAATGCCGCGTCACGCTGACCGTCTGACGCGGCGGCAGTGGTCGAGAGGGCGGGGCGTCGGCCGTACGCGATCTCTCTTCGTTAATAACTCGTAAACGAAGCCGCGGATTCCATTTTCGCTAAGGAAAAAGTTCCTTCGAATCACCTGAGGAGCAATAATTTCGGGACACCCTGTATAAAACGTTTTTTTCTTACGATCTATCATCGAATGAGACACGTCAGCCGTTTAAATAGGCTGAACTGGCAGTTCCGATCCCCTTAACCGGCTGTACACTTTTCCACAAAACCGTTTAAATATTCATGAAAGCGTCGTTGATAGAGAGGAGATAAAAACGTATGCATAAAAACCGAGATAAAATGATTGTTCTATAAAATCGCGCCGAGACACGGCCCCAGGTAACGCCGACGATCGTGTGGGGCGAAAATATTATAGATTAATTTATGCGAGGCGAGATGCGAAATGAACGATGATGGGAAAACTTTAATGTTTCTTTTCAGGTTGTCCTTGGTTGGGCAGGCGACAGGGCATGGCTAAACGCGTCCATTGTATATGCAGTATGCATGGCATTCTGCGGTGCAGTTACGGCTTTGATACCCAAGGTGGTTAGAAATTACTACTTATTGTGCGTAATTTCTGGTGCTTTCGGACTATTCATCTCGGCGAACTGCAGCCTCACCAGCATCATCCTCGTCGAATTGATCACTCTGGAGAGGTTCGCGAACGCTTATGGCCTGCTGCTTTTGGTTCAGGGTGTTGCTAATCTCGTAGGTCCTCCGCTGGCTGGTAAGAAGGAAATTAATATATATATATATATCCACCTAAATTTTCCTAATATACCTAATATAGATATCTAATATATCTAATATATCTAATATAGATATATCTAATATATCTAATATAGATATATTTAATATACCTTCCTAATTTATTACTTCATCTTGAGAACTTTGCGTACCGCAAATACGCATGAGTTTATTATTCTTGCCAAGGTTTAATAAATTTATTGTTTGATGAAACCTCTAAAAACCGCGGTCGCACTCGATTCGACTGAAATTTGCAAATAGTTTCATTTCACAATAAAAATAATCTGTTGCCAGAAAACAAACTAAATAATATTTACGGTTGTCCTATATATAAAATTGTCCTTGTTTTCTGTTTCACCTACTCAATTTTATTACAAATCTATCAATTCCGCAGTTTAACAATAACACACGGATAAAGATAATTTATTATTGGAATTGAATATTTTCAAATATCCGAGTGCAGTAAATAGTTTTTTCTACATGGATGAAAAGATCTGTGAAATTGATAGAATCCCTGGCATTAAGTGTTCGGCTACAAACGATACAGTAAATTCTTCCCAATTGACCCTTAGTTTCTACACAAAACTGGACAATTTGGGAAGAGGATTGTCAACTATAAAAACGAGCTGCTAGATACTCTTCGCAAATTGTCCACTTNGAAAAAGTTCCTTCGAATCACCTGAGGAGCAATAATTTCGGGACACCCTGTATAAAACGTTTTTTTCTTACGATCTATCATCGAATGAGACACGTCAGCCGTTTAAATAGGCTGAACTGGCAGTTCCGATCCCCTTAACCGGCTGTACACTTTTCCACAAAACCGTTTAAATATTCATGAAAGCGTCGTTGATAGAGAGGAGATAAAAACGTATGCATAAAAACCGAGATAAAATGATTGTTCTATAAAATCGCGCCGAGACACGGCCCCAGGTAACGCCGACGATCGTGTGGGGCGAAAATATTATAGATTAATTTATGCGAGGCGAGATGCGAAATGAACGATGATGGGAAAACTTTAATGTTTCTTTTCAGGTTGTCCTTGGTTGGGCAGGCGACAGGGCATGGCTAAACGCGTCCATTGTATATGCAGTATGCATGGCATTCTGCGGTGCAGTTACGGCTTTGATACCCAAGGTGGTTAGAAATTACTACTTATTGTGCGTAATTTCTGGTGCTTTCGGACTATTCATCTCGGCGAACTGCAGCCTCACCAGCATCATCCTCGTCGAATTGATCACTCTGGAGAGGTTCGCGAACGCTTATGGCCTGCTGCTTTTGGTTCAGGGTGTTGCTAATCTCGTAGGTCCTCCGCTGGCTGGTAAGAAGGAAATTAATATATATATATATATCCACCTAAATTTTCCTAATATACCTAATATAGATATCTAATATATCTAATATATCTAATATAGATATATCTAATATATCTAATATAGATATATTTAATATACCTTCCTAATTTATTACTTCATCTTGAGAACTTTGCGTACCGCAAATACGCATGAGTTTATTATTCTTGCCAAGGTTTAATAAATTTATTGTTTGATGAAACCTCTAAAAACCGCGGTCGCACTCGATTCGACTGAAATTTGCAAATAGTTTCATTTCACAATAAAAATAATCTGTTGCCAGAAAACAAACTAAATAATATTTACGGTTGTCCTATATATAAAATTGTCCTTGTTTTCTGTTTCACCTACTCAATTTTATTACAAATCTATCAATTCCGCAGTTTAACAATAACACACGGATAAAGATAATTTATTATTGGAATTGAATATTTTCAAATATCCGAGTGCAGTAAATAGTTTTTTCTACATGGATGAAAAGATCTGTGAAATTGATAGAATCCCTGGCATTAAGTGTTCGGCTACAAACGATACAGTAAATTCTTCCCAATTGACCCTTAGTTTCTACACAAAACTGGACAATTTGGGAAGAGGATTGTCAACTATAAAAACGAGCTGCTAGATACTCTTCGCAAATTGTCCACTTTTGTTTCCAACCTGAAGGACAATTGGGGAGAATTTACTGTACAAAACTTTCATTGCCATAGTCTGGGGCCAAAATTGGTCAGTATTTCTACCATTGTCCTCTGTGTACGATATAGAGGAATTAATACACTAAGGACAGAGGCAGAAGATAAGAATAAGAATAGCGAAGCAAGTCGACTCCCGTTGAGCCGTGTTTCACCGTTGAGCCGTGTTTCGGCCACTTACGCCCGGCTCCGTTGATCGGATCGCTCGGACAGTCTGCGCGATCTGACGAGGGCACTGCGCACCTTGCACGGTCGACTCGCTTACCGACCCGGTATATTAAGCCGTCCTAGAAGCTCTCGTAGGACTCGGAAGGGAGCAGCGACACCAGAGCCCTTCGGGAGTTCGTCTAGCGCGAAGCTCCTCGCAGCCGGACTCCCGCCGAAATGCTCCAGAGTCGCGTTTTTATACACGCGAGGCGACCGCGGTTCGGGGGGCTAATTATCGTTGATTGGCCGAGAGGCCTCCTGGTGGGGGGCCGGCGGCACACCGAACGCGTGTACGTGACATAGATGGCGTAGATGGCGAACGTCTTCGTCGCACAAGTGTTATTAATTTATGCTGTCAAGTGTTGTTATTAGAGGTATTAACAATCGTTATATTATAATTAGTGTACATTATATAATTATATATAATATTATTACATTCTAATAATATCTTGTAATATTCTATTATATTACTATATATTATATAATTATATATAATATTATTATATTCTAATAATATCTTCTAATATTCGATTATATTACTATATATTATATAATTATATATAACATTATTATATTCTAATTATATTAATAATTTTTATATTGTTTTGAGGCATATCACCTTTGCAATCATATATATGCCGGCTACTTCCAGACCCGCCGACAGATGGATCCTCTTCCCGCATATTTCCCACGAATTATAGTATCGTGGCCTATGGTGATGGTTTTCCTCTATCTATTAATAGCAATATTATATTATATATATTATATAATATTATATAATATTATATAATATTAATAAAATATTAATTTAGCAATACATATCAATATAATATAATATATTAATAATATTACATATTAATATAATAATAATATTAATATATATATTATATTAATATTATAATAATTATAATATTTCATTGTAAAATGTGTGTGAAATATTAATTAATATTAATATATATATTACAATGAAATATTTATTTACTGTCTACGATTGAAGATGTATTTTATCCGGTTCCGCTTACGGTCTCACCATTGACTACAGCCTCTGTAACGATGTTTTATTTTACTGTTCCAGGATGGCTGTACGATATCACAGGGAAATACGATTTATCTTTTTACTTGGCCGGTCTCTGTATCGCATTGAGCGGGGCACTGTTGCTGGCGATGCCTTTAATTAGCCTGTATCGTAAATGTGTTTACGGATCGAAGAAAGAAGAGACCGATAAAGATTTTTCAAGCCTGAACAGTGTTTAAATTATCCGAGGCTGATCGACAGAGATCGTTCCGTGGCAAAGGGAAAACTGTGGTCGACGCCGCGCGACGTACCGAAATATACGCTAATATACGATCCAACCGAATTTATGCAATAATACTTTCCCAGTGGAAAACAAAAGGAATTGCAAATTACATACACACACATACACACAGTTCTGCCGATCGTTACGAATACATACTGCGGCGACCGTCACACTTTATCTCGCTTTTTGTGGTTCCTCTGTAGCGTAGGAAAAAAAATTACGCGTTCGCGGCGTGATTGAAAAACTAAAAATATACTCTCGATGTGATCGACCCGTGGAAAAACGTTAACGCGCGTCCACGCCCCTCGAATCATTGGTCCCTTTTACTACGGAAAAACACCAGTCCATCTTGAATTTCGATGTAAAACACGAAAGCGGATTTAGCAGCTCTCTTAAAACGATTTATAAGAAAACGAAACTCGCCCGTTTCAAACGATGTACGAGAATCGAAAGCGGCCCGAAACCGCGCGACCATCTTCGAGGAAATTCTATTTCATCAGCGTTATCACACGACGGAGTTTCCTTTCAGTTTTCAATCGTTCAACGTTGGAAACACCTCAACCGCAGGATAATGATGCACGATCAATGGAATGGCCCGTCTGTTGCGTCTGTTCCGCACGTTCGGAGAACAAAATTCAATTATGCTGGCGGCGACCGTAAATTTTGTCGATGCGTTCCTCCGCGTCTTTCGCCTTTCTTCGACGAGTTTCCATTCTGTGAAAAATGCCCTTTGTGCGAATCGAGGGGGTACACCACCACCACCACCACCACCACGTAAGATTCGCGAACAAATATTCCATTGATTTTTTGTTAATATTCCTTTCCTCGGATTGATTGTTTTAAGCGAATCAGAGTGGAACCTTTCTGAGGGATGATCGAGCAAACGTTTTAGCCAAAAATTTTTACTTGTTCAAAATGATGACAGTGCCCGGTGTTAGACGATATCGTTTAACGTCGTGAATTATAAATCTATGTTCTATATTATTAGGCTTTTTCAACAATCTTTGGCTTACTTTTTAAACAATAAATAACGTGTGCGCGATCTATCTTTGTTCTGAGCGCCTTCTACGTTCTCCCTTCACGCATCTCGCTGCTAGAAAGAGATTCCTGATTTTTCTAGATCCATCTTTCTCGAGAGCCTCATTCACGCTATCTATCCAACTAATCACTACGTTGGTCGATATAGAAGGGAATCGATTAATTATTCAACATTAATTATTCCTCTCCTAATCGCAATTCCGTCTCATATACAATTCTTTTTCATACACACACCATTGTCTCTACATCTATATTCGATACATTAAAAACTTCGTCTCTTACTGCTATAAACCGTTACATACTATATATATAAAAAAACTCTAAAAAGCAACGAAAAATAAAAATATATTCACTCTGTCATTAACGCTTTTCTATGATGCATAAACTTTACCAAGCCTAGAACCTTTGTAAATATGTCCGTAAATTGCTCTGCTGACTCACAGTATTTTAAGACTATCTTATTCTCCATAATTTTCTCATACGCAACATGATATCTTACACCTGTATGCTTTGATCTATGCTTGGAAGTTCCACTTTTCGCTATCTTAATCGCACATTGGTTATTCAGCAGCGATTCAATCTCCGGTTTGTCTTCTGTTAATTGCTTCCTTAGATGTTTTCGATGCGCTAGGCTCCTTACAACGCTATAAATTCTGCCTCAGTACTCGACAATGCCTGATTGTTTCCTTGAACACCAACTTGTAGGACCTCCACAGTACTTTATCGCATGTCCAGAAGTGCTTCTTGTATCTGTCCGCCTACTATTAAGATTTATCGCATACGCTAGATCTGGCCCGATTTGATTTACCAAATACGATTTCCTTTTACCTGATACTTCATCTGGTTCATTAGTCTGCATTAATGTGTCCACTAGTCATAACATTTCTAGCACCCGTTCAGCATAAGACCTATCTGTTCTTCCTAGATCTTTCTCGAATCTTATCCACTATCATCTATGCCACTCACGTCACACCTTGGTCGATATAGAACGGAATCGATTAATTGTTTAACAGTGTCTAGCATGTTTTTGTCTGCAAATAGCCGACACCAAAAGCGATACTAAAATTCCTTTGCACAAGGAATGTGTAAAATAAGAAATCTTTATGTTGACGTGGTATACGATTTTTTGAACAGTTTTCAAAAGTAAAGAAATACCTGAAAAAGAGTTTCATAAAAAGGTTTCCATGTTTTAAATAAAATAATTAATTTTGAATGTTCGTGGAAATTGAATAGAACAGAAACATTTGAGAAATCGTATGCTGCAGTGTAGATAATGTAATGTAACGAATGATGCGTGAAAATTTCAATTTAAGCGGATGAATAGTTTCGTAGATCTTTTGCGTATTAATAATTACGAAACACGGTTTCGAAGAAACCGCCTTTGAAGTTTCAACATTCGCGAATATGATATCTGACAAAAAACGATTCCAGCATATGTTACAAATGAGATATAGTATTCTACGTACATTAGAAGACTATACGAAAATTATAAAAGAAATTGAGTAGCCTTGACAAAGCGTTGGAGTATTTATTAATACATTCGAACGATGAAGATGACGACAGAGATTACCATGCAATTTCTGAAATATTTTGCGATGATTCTTCCTCGAAGAACTGTTAAATCTTCGAATTTCTCCTGCTAAAAAAGAGCAGACATTTCTGTAATAATATCTTGTTCATAGATACGTTTGTTATAGCAAAAATGAGTAGATGAACAATTCTCTTGTCGAGGTATTCTACTTCACTGCGACTATAGTGTAACAAAATTTTGCAATATTTGAGTGATTTCGAAACGTTGTTTCTCGCTTATACTCTGTACCTGCCTGTATGCGTTGCCGCGACGTTGTAAATAGTTTCTTCCATTTTCTAATAATTAATCATGTGTCTATTGTTTGAACTTGTAACTTCATCGATGCGATAATATGGTTCTCCTTGAATATTGAATTTCGCATCGATAATATCATAAAAATCAAGTCAGAGTTTGTTCTAGCTCACTGCGCGACGCTCAAGAATCATAGCACCAATTAATGTACAGTCCAGTTCAGTTATTGCTAAATTTTAATTCGATCAATTGTGTTTCATCGTGATCTTACAATTTAAACGAACACATCACATTACAGCACAAACGTGATGAAAGATTTTATAATACCTAAAAAACAAAAAAATGACGGGTAAATATTCGTGAATGAATATTTATGATATTGAATGAGAATAATTATATTATGTCCCTAAACATCTTATGATAATCAATTTTAACATTTTAATACGATGTTACTTGAAAGTTATAACCACACACACACACACACACACACGCTGCGGATTTTATGTATTTATAATATTTTGGAACTGTTCAAATCCGGCATAGAAAAATATTGAAAAATGTACGATAAACTTTTTATCATTTCTTCAGTCTCTAATAATAACAATTTCTCTTTGGTTCCTCTCTCTGCTAATTTGTTCATAAACATTATACTTATACGAAGGTCCGTGGTCTAGTTGTAACAATTTAGAACGTTCAAACTTGTTGTCGTGTGTTAATTTACAATAATTCTACGATAATTAAACGATATGCGAAGTGTAAAGAAAGCGCAGACAGTGATTAAATTTTGACAAGGTGGTGTACTCCCATATGCATTAGTATAATCTGACAAAGTTATTTCAGATATAACATCGAGAATAAATCACTGAAAATGTAAATATATGCCTGATGTGTGATGCTTGCAAACTTTAACTCTCGGGCGGACGCGCCTCTTTCTGTGACACAGGATAATCTCAAAGAATTTGAATTATTCAATAATCATTGTACACAGTATGTTCGGGATTCAAACGTTTATTCTACAGGGTGTCCAGAATTATTGTACTCTCTTTTCTCCACGGAGAAAATTTTTGTAAAGAAAAAAAGTTGCTTCGAATGACCTCAGAAATTTCTAACTCCTGGAGGTACCATAATTTGGGGACACCTTGTATATGGTTTATAAGAGCGTTATAGAATAAATATTTAAATCCCAGACATGCTACGTATAAGTGCGTTACACTGATAAATATTATATAATATAATATTATATTATATATATTATATTAATAATTAATATCATATTAATATTACATAATATATATTATGTTAATATAATAATAATAATATTAATATTACAAATAATAATCGTATTATCTATTAACAAATTCGGTATGCACAACCCTGAGGACGCATTTAAGCAATTTCGATCCTCAGGACGCTTGAACAATGTTTTCATTTCGTGCTAAAATATCCTTAACAATTAATTGCATTTAAATTGCAAGAACACGGTTCGACAAGGTTTAGCTTTAATTTTGATAAAACTGATTTATAAAAGCTCGTCCGCCCGAGGGTTAACTATTATCGATACAGTCTTCGAGTATTTCCGTAGTTCCTTTGCAATTTATTGTTAATCGTTAAACAGAACGCAAATGCAATGATCGCAACCACGCTCATCGTTTCGCGTTCGATCCTTATTTTCTTCCGATTGAACAGACAAAATAACGAGCCACGTATGCTCATTTAGGCGTTTCCAATATATGTATACGATTGTGTCCAAGTTGAGTGTCATCTTCACATTGAAATAAAACATAGATTTTAACAGGAAGCCTACTCTCCACGATGTTAATTATTATATATCAATTATCATTATATGTTAATAATCATATATCATTATCATTATATGTTAATAATCATTCAACAGTCGTCATTTTCGTGAATGTCATTAATGACTTGACACATTACTTTTCAAAAATTTATTATATATATTATTTCGCGTCGCGCTCAACGTTATCGACAGTTTACGTATCGACAGTGTGCCTCGACAGGCACGTTAGCAAGAAGCGAATATTCTGTATATTTCATTTCTACTAAGAACACTGAATATTATTTAGACACAATAATTGTATACGATGCGAACATTTTAACGGTGGGAAAATAGTATTTTCGAAGCATGTACTAAAGAAATCCGATATAAAGTGTAATTATTTTTATGGGCGATTAAGCAATTGTTTCTACTAATTACAGAATTAATGATGGGACACATATCGGTAACGATGGGAATGGTAATGGGGCTTCTGAAGAGCCATTTTTTTTGGTGACAAAATGTATTTTGTATTTTGTTGTATTTTTGTTATATTTTTGTTGTGTTTTTGTTGTATTTTTAGCTATGTAACATAATGCATTCAATGTCCAGACTGCGCCTATACCTCGTTTGCGCTAATAGAATGGACGTCGAATCTACAACTCCTATACCTCGTCCGTGTCTGCAGATTCTTTCGCCGCGTCGATAATTGAAAACGTGTATCTGCGGTCGCGCGTCAGATGTCGCCACGTAACCAAATATCGCGGACGCGTTCAGCATCGACGCGTTGACGCAATCGTCGACGACGTGTATAAATTATTACAACTTAAACTCTAAATACGAATTACATAAGAAATTGCCAGTGAACGTATAAAAATAATTTCAAGAAGTCGTACTTCGTATGCTACTTTCCGCAATGATACGTCCGCGAGAGGTTCGTAAAAACAAATAATAAATCCAGGAATATAATTTAAAACGAACTCGCTTAAATATTTGTAAACGAAGTGAAGTTAGTGCGATTAAGCGAACTGACGTTGACGATGAAGTTGGCGCGACACAGTGATTTAAGAAACATTGAACAAACACGTAGTGTTGCTACCAGTGTTTCCCTGTTTCCTTGGAAAATATACTTTATCGATTTAATTTTGTTTGCGCATCTATTCGAACGCGTTGCTACGAAACGTTTCTTCAGTCTACGTTCTGTGCTTCTTCTAGTGTAATTGTCAGTGAGTAAGTCCTAGTTTTTCTACTAATGCTTGTATCTTTTAACCTCGACGTAGGTTTCAAGTTTTTTTGTCTCTGCAACAAATATACTATTCTAATAAGTATTCTAATGTTCTAATATCTTAATATCCTAATATTCTAATATTCGAATATTCTAATAACTATTCTAATATTCTAATATTCTAATAAATATTCTAATATTGTAATATACTAATATTCTAATATCTTAATAGTCTCTGCAAATTGCATGTGTTATTTGGCGTGAAATGAAGAATTATAAATTTTATTATTTTCATTCTGCTACATTATAATATCGAACTAGCAGAACAGTGTAATATTAACAGTGTAATATTTTAAAACAAAACTCGATGAGCTATCAATGTTATTTTATTTTATATTAATTTCGCCGCCTTTTCGAATGTTTTTGGTAAATAGCGATTAAAAAATACAACATAATATCTATTATATAAGAAAATATAATGATCGAAATAAAATCTCGTAAGGTTAAACTAAATTCCACCTGTCAAAGTTCGCTTCGAATAATCGCGGAACGCGACTAAAGTTCCGAAAATCGTCGCGTACCGACGATTAACCGGAATCGTGTAATTCCGGATTTCCCGAGCGTGCAAACAATAAAATTGGATTTAGCAACCCTCGCGACCACGTACGTGGCGCGGGCACACGACACCCTCCGGAGGAGGGGTGGGGGTGAGTTTTCAGAAGGTGGACAGAAGCACACGCTCTCTCTTCTGGGGGCTGCGGAGATCAAAGACGCCCTACGGGTAATTCCGTAGTTTCTACACGTGACATATTGGGTAGAAATTGACGGCGACAGCCGACGTTGTTACAACGCGGCTACGAAACTTTGATCATTCCACCTGTGGGACTTGTTCCGACTTATGAATATTATGACCAGACGCGAGATCGGTCCTCGTTTTCGCTTCTGTGATTACGCTGCTCCGAAGATTACGCTCGATAATTCGCTAACGAACGTATCGAATTTCTTCGAACGTTATTAAGGGTTGGCAGCGAAGTAATTTCGGTATTTCAAGGTTAGATGAAACTCAATTTTTTTTCTCTGCGTAAGAAATGAATTTTGGGCGGTCGAATATTTTTTATTCGGGTCGATGAAATCTTTTTTGGTAACTTCTGAAGTTGTGAACAATGCTATAAGGATTTTGTTTGTTATTGTAGTGACCTAAAGTAGTGTCAAGCAAAGCACAAAGCTGGAGACAATAAAATTAGAATCTTAATGAAAGAGTGACAATGCAAACGTAACGCTGTCTATGTTTAAATCTAATTTCTAATATCTAATTTCTAATGTCTAATATCTAATTTCTAATATCTAATATCTAATATCTAATATCCAATTTCTTTCTAATATTCTAATATCTTAATATCCTAATATTTCAATATAATATATGAATATTATATTCTAATATTCTA